CCCCTGCAGTCCAGACATCGACGTTCTCCAATTCACATCCCTGAGTTTTCCAGATCATAACCAAGATTCTCTGGTTATGATCTCACTTAATATCACTTTGCATTTTATGCTTTCTGACTGTGCAAATTGACCATGACAATGTGAGTTATTCTGTGGAATATCATAAGGTGAATGAGCTAATTCAAGGAAAGGGAGTGGTATCTGCACTGAATTTAACTCCAAGGCATGCTAGGGCAAAGACCTTTCCACACTAGAAGAAACAAAGTTTATGTGCACAAAATGTATGATCTACGATGCACCAAGAAACATTATGAACATTGAATCAAATGGAGCATGAAACATTTCTAATATATGTTGAATTACGCTGGCCATCATTTATTATAGATTTTTAGAAGAAAACTAGGTACAGATCTGACTGTTGGTTTGGGTATCAGTTCAACATGAATCTAGGAGCTGACTTTCCCACAACTGCACTAGTAACCGTTGAGTTCCTGAGCTCTATCTCTGAGTTCTCTAGGCTAAAACTCCAGTTTGGCTAATTGCAGGTGTAATGGTGCCAGGGATGATTAATGGGGAGACATTACACTGGGTATTTACATCTGCCTGGTAAGGAGCAAGTTCAGAGCTGAGCACCTGGGAGTCAAATGCAGGAGTTCAGCATGTCTAAGACAGGCTGAGCGGTGACAATGACACAGGCCACCTGGTTTTAATATCATGAATACATTTGATTTTTCCACACCGTACAAGTTACACAATATCACGACCTCCTTACACAGGTGCAATTTTTATGTTAGTGCAGATCTGGAGCCATCAATGACAGGTGTTTGAGAAAATTTTTGACGACAGGAAAGGCCAGGCCTTTTGGGTGTGCTCATAGAATTCATTATGTATCTAATTATGAGCAAGCTTTATTTTATATTACTTCAATTAAAGCAGTGGAGCGATAGCACAGTGGTAGGGCATTTGCCTTGCATGCAGCCATCATGGCCGACCCGAGTTCGATTCCTCCGCCCCTCTCGGAGAGCCCGGCAAGCTACCGAGAGTATATCGCCCGCACGGCAGAGCCTGGCAAGCTCCCCGTGACGTATTAGATATGCCAAACACAGTACAACAAAATCTCCTATGGAGACGTTACTGGGCCCGCTCGAGCAAATCGATGATCAACGGGAGGGCCTTTACTTTACTTTACAATTAAAGGGATAGAGCCCTAGCACAGCAGGTAGGGTATTTGCCTTGCATGCAGCTGACCCAGCCAACCCGAATTCGATTCCACCACCCTTCTCAGAAAGCCCATAAAGCTACCAAAAGTATCTCATCCGCACGGCAAAGCCTGGCAAGCTTCCTGTGACATATTCGATATGCCAAAAAAGGTAACAACAAGTCTGATAACGGAGACATTACTGAGCCCACACAAGCAAATCGATGAACAATGGGAGGACAGTGCTACAGTGCTACAGTGCATTTTGTAGCATATGTAATCTAATATATTTTAATCACTCACTTTAGTGGTGTTTAGAAAAAGGTAAATATAAAATATATAAAGATATCATAAAATTTAGGAAGTATTAAAATGGTTCATACTATTGCAAAACCTGTATTCCTTTTTGAAAGTTTCCTTTAAATTATTGAGCAAACCTGCCATAGCTCACTAACGAGCTTGAGAGCCACATTTTTCCAATATTCCTGAATCCCGAATTGACCTTGTGAAAACACAGGCAAATATTTCCTGAAAAATATAGACAGTGTACTGGTTTTAAAAGAGATTATAGGAGGGCCAGAGCAATAGTACTGTGGATAGGACACTTGCCTTGCTTGCAGCAGAATCGGGTTCAATCCCTGGCACTTTATGACCACTTTGAGCATCCACCAACATGATCCCATGTCAGAAATAGAGCAGTAAGTCCCGAGCACCACATGTATGGCCACAAAACAAATCAACAAAAAGGGGGAAGGAGAGGAGGCTCTAATATGTTTAATAGTAACTATATTACTGGAACTGAAGACTTGTTGTTTTGCTCTATTTTATATAAAATGTGGTTCTACAAAAGGGAATGCCCTGCCACAGAGGCAGGGTGACATGGGAGGGATGGGGGTGGGAGAGATACTGGGATCCATGGTGGTGAAAAATGGGCACTGGTGGAGGGATGGGTATTTGATCATTGTATAATCTAAACCCAAGAACAAAAATTTATAAATCTTCAACAGTACCTCATGGTGTTTCACTCATAAAATTTTTTTTAAAAAAATTGGTTCTAAGGATAGTTTTGAGGATAACTTTTTAAAAATACCAATGATAGATAGGTTTAAATGATATCAATTCTAGTTGTAATATGTTGAAAATCTCTCTAAAATGACAGATATTTCTTGGGGGCCAGAGAGATAGCATAGTGGATAGGGCACTTGCCTTGCACCCAGTTGACACGAACATTCCATAGGTCCCCCGAACACTGCCAGGAACAATTCCTGAATGCAAAACCAGGGGTAAGCATATCTGGGTGTGGCCAAAAAACAAACCAATGAATAAATAAGTAATCAATCAATAAAATGCCAGATGTTTGAGTGAGAAAGTTAGGCTCTGGAATCATTCTTTCTGGGTTGATACTGACACAAGCCACAATGCCTGCAAGAGGCTTGTGCAACTGTTCTGCTGGAAAATGGTGCTGACCCCAGAGTGGCAGACAACAGTGCGAGACTGTTTTCCACTAGGCTGCCCTGGATCCAATCACATAAATAGAAGCAAAGTTTCTTTCTTATTATGCAGGCTATTGATGCGTGGGTGACAGCTCTCCCAAGCTGGGTGTGGGGGAAATGGGATGACAGTGAAACAATAGTCAGAGATATCAGCAACTCTTGGTAAAAGTCAGAAAAATTGGAAACCTTACACATTGAAGAAAGACAAGTAAGCCAGTGCAACTCTGGAAATATACATCTGATTGTGTTATGTCCCGGGAAGGGAGTTTCACTCCCACATTGACCAGACCAGACGTGAGGATACAAATGCAAGGCCCCTTTTTGCTAGCTTGAGCTAGGGTTCAAGTCTCATCCAATGCCGTGGAGTCTCGACAAAGACCCGGACCCAAGTTGCAAGAAACATTATATAGCATTTTGTTACATAAGCAATGTTTGGCAGTATCCCCAAGAATTGAGGTGAAGCAATCACAAGTCTGTGAGTTAAGTGGTTATGCCCACCTGCTGTGCCCAGAGATGTCCTACTTATCACAGGACTGGCTAGAGGCTTCTAGGGGATTTCCAGCCTCTGCAAGGACAGTCTCAGGGAATTCTTTAGGAGGAGGGGGGAGGGGAAACAGATATTTAGGTCTACTGCTTGTTTTGTTGAAGTACAGCCTGTCATGGCACCTATGAGGTGTTTTTCAACCTCACAACTGCTCTGATCATCTAGAATGTTACCAATTGGCTTGACCATTCTACCCCTTGAGATGAAAACTAACATTGAAATAAACAAAAACTAGTAAACCAATGCTTCTGCAATCCTTTGCATGAGAGCAAACAGATTATCAAATAGCAGAAATGAGCACCTTCAGCTGAACAAATCAACAAAATGTGGTAAGTTGATATATACTGGAATATAATTCAGCAAAGATTCTTTGATATTTACTATGCTTAGTCCAGTTTACCGGCTGGAAAAATACAAATACTGTATCAATTTGCCCAAATGTGAAATAGAACCCCAAATAGGGAACAAACAAACATGAGAGTAAGTCTTTAGATTTTGAGACAGTTTGGGGTTAGCTGGGGGGAAGGGTAGGAGCATGGACCAGGGTGGAAGTAGCTGACTAGGTGTAGATAGATGGAAATGAGATGTGAGGTGGCAGATATAGACAGTGTATACGGAAAGGAGGAGTGAAGCCACACCACTGAAACTTTTGAGGGTTGTAATCTGGTGTGAACTCAGTAGCAGAATACACTATTGTCCCATGTCACATCATGCATGGGCCTAGAAATATTGTATAATACAAATGTAAGTAAAGTAAAGGAGTTGCTAAGTACCTAATTTTTTCGAATCTATAATGTGAAATATCCAGAACAGGAAAATTCATGAGGATTGAACATGTATTTTGGTTTCTTTGGAGTGAGTAGGGTCAGATAGGATGAGAAGAATCAAAATGGCTTTGAACTTTCTTTACAGAATGGTGAAAATATTGAAAAATTAGATTTTCGTGTTGACTATGCAAGTCTATCAATTCATGAAGCACAATTGAACTGGGTACTGTAAGTGTGTTTAAACATGATTAATAAAGGTAACATCTCAACATAGCTATTAAACACACCCAGTCTGAGAAGGAGGTGCCGTTATTGACCCTGTTCAGTGGGTCTGAGCTCAGACACACTCAGAAAGTACAGGCTCCACAGCTCTGTTTCCTGTTTGGCACAGGCTGACATGTGGGGATCATTTAGACCATGCCTGGGTTTTTGTCTCACTTCTTCTTGAGTCTGAAGCACTGTGACATTGCTGATACTTTTGTCCCATGCAGAACAATAATAATCAGCCTCATCCTCAGGCTGCACGCCTGAGATGGTCAGAGTGGCCTTGTTTCCAGATGAAGAACCAGTGAACCGAGCTGGAATCCCTGTAGGTCGAGTACTTTCAATCATCACAGTTTTGGGGGCAGCACCAGCACCAGGAATCTGCTGGTACCAGCCTGTGCTATAGGAACCGACATTGTTGTTGTTTCCAGTGCAGGAAAGGGTGACTGTCTGTCCCACAGACCCTGACACTGAGACTTCCTGAGTCAGTCCAGTCTGCGCCCAGGAGCCTGAAATGGAACATGGGAGACACAGAGGTGAGACAGTTACTAGCCACAGCCTGTTCTCAAAACAAAGCATTTTCCCACCACTGCAGCCCGTCAACCCAGAGCATGGTCTCCAGCATAATCATTTCCCCAAGTTCCCACTATCAGTCACCTGGGTACTGAGTTAGCAGGAAGAGAAGGACAGGAGGCCAGGCCATTGCAGAGACACCCTGGACTCAGATTTGGAGCTCACAAGGGAGAAAACTGCACAAAGTCCCTCTTATCTTTGTCCCCTAATGAAAGAGCAGAAAGGAGCCCTTTATGCAAATCACCCCCTACCCCATCTGCCCCTGGGCCTACATTTGGTGAAAGCTGAGGTGGAGATGGAGCTGGGGCAGCCTCCAGGGTGCTAGAGGTCACAGTTTGTAATCCCCAGGGAGTGCAGAGCCCCAGGTGACAATTTGAGACTGAGTTCCCCAGAAGGCTCAAGAACAAGCCCACAGCGCCACCTGCTGAGTCAGAAGATCACCACAGAGATCATACAATGTGCAGGCACTAACCTAATTGTCAGCTGTCCACAGACAGCTGACCACAACAGCTCCTAAGCTGAATCTAAGGAGGAGATACTGAAGTTTCTAAACTTCCATATTCAGTAGGTCATTATACTCTTAGGGCACGATCTATATCAACCTCTGAGTGCCATGTGAAGTGTCTAAAGCGTTCTAGGAAAAGTTATTGAGCTTGTTGAAGGTACTCAGCTTCATTGGTGCATCCTCAACCATTCCCTGAACCTGATAAGCACTGGGGTGGCAAGTACACAGAATAGATTTAAGGTTTTTTTCTGGAGAGGTGTCCACTCTTGGAATGAACCCTTACTCACAATTTACTGGGCTTTGAAGTCAAGCAGGGACACTTGACACAAGAGTCAGAAGCTGTCCAGAAAACACATGTGGCCAAGCCTGTCTGGGTACCTAACATCTCAGGAAGATTTAGAATCACCAAGGAGCCAAAATGTGTTTCCCTTGTTTGAAGTGCATACTAGTGTATTTTGTATACATACCATAATTTAGTAATCCATTCATACAAAGTTGGGAATTTGGGTTGTTTTCACACCTTGGCTATTGCATTAAGAGCGACAATAAACTCTAGAGTGCATATTTCCTTTGGGATTAATGTTTCTGTGTTTTGCAGATAGATGCCAAGAAGTATATCATAGAGTATATCATATCAGTATATCACAGAGTAGTTCTATGCTTATTTTTGATGGATCTACATATTAGTTTCCACAGAGACTGAACAGAAGGAAACTCCCAACGTGAATGTTTGACAATTCTTTTATCACCACAACTCTTCCAACAATGGCTATTTCCAGAAATTTAGATATAAAAATAGCAGTTTGTTCGAACATTAAGTTTCTAGGCAACATCCCTGAGTGGGACAAGTTTTTCCTATCATTCCTTATCTTTCTGTGTCCCTATGATAGACCCAATTGTATCAGTTGTGTCTACCTTGTACTTAGCCTTGTACTTAGGCTGCAGCCAGAGATGAGCAGAAGCCCTACATTGGTCCACAGAGAAGGGTCTCTGGTTTCTGTTGGTACCAATACATGCAGTTACCATCAACACAGAAGCCACTGCTCAGGGTGCAGAATAGGCTGATGCTCCTAAAGATACAGACAGAGTGTTGGTAGCTGAGCCAGCAGAGGCTGGAAGAGGAAATGTGCAAAGAGGCAGGTCATGTGATAGAGCCCAGCATTATTTCTTGGATCAGACTTATAGGTTAAATCAGGCTGAAGGGTCCTATCTATCACCCCAATACCTGATCCATCTATGCAGCGAGAAAGAAGACTGAACAGGTGTTCAGGCCATCATACACAGAGACCCTGATTCCACAGTAGGACTGGTCTGACCTAGCCTCTCTTTCTTCCCTACTCTCTTCCCAATCACAAGCTCATCAGGAAAAAGAATTTCCACCCAGTGACTTTCCACATCCTCATTGAGCCCTGGTACTAGAGCTCAGCTCACACCCAGGCCCCGGTGGACAGAGATTTGCTTAACTTTTAGGAAAAGCCCAATAAGGAAGCACCTGCTGAGAGCACACACTGGCTGTGCTCAGGGGAGTCTGTCAGGCCTGAGAGGTCACAGCTGATGCATCTCCTCTATGAGTATGGAGCCCAGCTCCAAAAAGTGGATTCTTTGGTGTTTTGAGTTTGTTCTTCAAATTAGATATATTTTTTCTATTTGCCATTGGTTTTATACTCTCATGGTACATCTAAGTCTCCTCTTTATAAATATAATTCTCATCACTCGCACACACAAAAAGCTCCTTGAATTTTCCATTTTCTTTCTTTCTGCTAACCAACATAGTTTTCTCTGCACCTATGACTTAATTTTGTTACATTTTGCCAGTTATATATCAAAGTTATTTGCTTCAGTAATTCAGGTTTCATACTAATGAAACCGTATAATAATTACTTTGTACTTCTTCATCTTTTTTAGCATAATCAATGCAAGTTATCCCAAAAGCAAAATTACATCAGCTTTAATAAGTGTTTCATTTATGTATATATAAGCATGTATATTTGTTGAATATAGAGTGGAGAGATAGCACAATGGTAAGGCATTTGCCTTGCATGCAGCTGACTCGTTCAAGCTGGGTTCTATTCCTCCGCCCTTCTCGGAGAGCCCAGTAAGCTACCGAGAGTATCTTGCCCACAGGGCAAAGCCTGGCAAGCTACCTGTGACATATTTCATATGCCAAACTCTGTAAAAACAAGTCTCACAATGGAGACATTATTGGGCCTGCTGAAGCAAATCCATGAACAACGAGAGCACAGTGCAGTGCTTTCTCTCTCTCTCTCTCTCTCTCTCTCTCTCTCTATATATATATATATATATATATATATATATGCTACATCTTTTTAAGCGTAGCTTATAAGTATATGATTTGTGAAGAAGAATGGTGTTTATGCCACACCTGGTTGTGGTCAAAGCTTATTCTTGGATTTGTGATCAGAAATTATTTCTGGACACTCTTTCACTGTTCATGGGAATTCCCACTACTCCAGCCTTTCTGGAAAACAATATGGACAGCCCTTCATAAACTACAAAGTGAACTTCCATGTGACCCCACAATACCACTTCTGGAAATACATCCCGAGGGCGCAAAAAAGCACTTCAGAAATGACATCTGTACCTCTATGTTCGTTGCAGCACTGTTCACAATAGCCAAAATCTGGAAACAACCCAAGTGCCCTAGAACAGATGACTGGTTAAAGAAACTTTGGTGCATTTACACTATGTAATACTATGCAGCTGTCCACAGAGATGAAGTCATGAACTTTGCTTATAAATGGATAGAGATGGAGAGTATCATGCTAAGTAAAATGAGTCAGAAAGAGAGGGGCAGACATAGAAGGATTGCACTCATTTGTGGAGTATAAAACAACATAGCATGAGGCTGACACCTAAGAATAGTAGATACATGTGACAGGTAGATTGCTCCACAGCTGGAAGCCTGCCGCATGAGCAAAGGGGAGAAGGCAGCTGGAATAGAGAATGGATCACTAAGAAAAAGATGGCTAGAGGAATCAATCAAGATGGGAGATGTGTGCAGAAAGCAGATAAAGGATGAAACATGATAACCTCTCAGGGTATGTATTGCAAACCATAATGCCCAAAAGGAGAGAGAGAGAGTATGGGGAATGATGTCTGCCATGGAGGCAGGGGGACAGTGGGAAAGGGGAGGTATATCAGGAATATTGGTGGTGGGGAATGTGCACTGGTGGAAGGATGGGTGTTTGATCATTGTGTGATTGTAATCCAAACATGAAAGCTTGTAACTCTCTCAAGATGATTCAATAAAATTTTTAAAAAAGAAATTATTTCTGGCAGTGTCAAGAAACCTTCTCCTGTGTCTATACTGTGTCTTCAGCCCCTGTGTCTAGTGTTCCATCGATAGGCATATATTTCCGCTGATTCTATGCCATAGCTATTGCGAAGAGGGGGCTGTCTACATGAGAGTGCAACTGTCCTTTCAGTTTAGCAGCCTGCTTGATTATGTGGTATTTTCATTTGGACTTTTGTTAGAAATCTTTGTAAGGTCCTTCTGTATCCAATGTATCAACATCAATCCCACCACCTGTGTCAACTTCCCTCCACTAATGTCCCCAGTTTCCCTTCACCCACCCCAGCCTGCTTCTTCAACAAGCATATTTTCAAGATTCATTATTGTGCATTGGGCCCCATGCTTACAACACAGTTCCCTGCACCTTAGATGTATACATATGCAATACCTGTACATAACCAATGTTTCCAAGGAAACTGCCCCTGCCCCTGTTACCTTCCACCCATTTTCCCTTTTTTTCAACCTTTCTATTTCTTTCCTTGCTTGACTTTTTCATTACTGATAATCTAGGACCAAGGATTTACTCCATTTTCATAACTTGCTCTCCATATCACGTCCTTCAATATATCAAAGATAAGTGAGATCATTAGGTACAGGCCTCCTCCTTCTAATTTAATTCACTTAACATACTATCCTCCACTCCCATCTGTGCTTCAGGTAATTGCGTAACTTCATCATTCTTTGCAACTGCAAGGCATGCCATTGTGTATGTATACTACACCTTTAAGTAAAGGCCCTCCCGTTGATCATCGATTTGCTCGAGCGGGCCCAGTAACGTCTCCATTGGAGACTTTGTTGTTACTGTGTCTGGCATATCGAATACGTCACGCGGAGCTTGCCAGGCTCTGCCGACTACACCTTTATTATTTATTAATTTGGCATTGAACATTTGGGTTAATTCCATGTCCTAGCTCTTGTAGTAAGTGCTGCAGTGAACAATAGTGTTCACATCTCCTTTCAAATGGATATTTTCGTGTCTAGGAGGTGGAGGATTAATATTTGGGGGGATAGATACTAACAACAAATTGACTCAAATGGGAGCTAATTGTACTTGTTTGATAAATTTCAAACTTGTAAGAGAAAATACCATATGTTTTCCATAGAAACAATACCCAGCTGACACTCAGAGAAACCATGAATGAGGATTCTTCTTTACCACATCACATCAATAGCTGTTATTTCCAAACATATATACATTTGTCTGTATATATACATATATATATATATACTTTACAGCTCTGAGTTAATACATCATTGTCATTTTTATTTCTGTTCCCCTTCCCAAGGGAAAGAGGCACTTTTTTCATGTGTTTTTTGGTCATGTTTATGTCTTCTTTGTGGATTTGTCTAACTCTTCTCCCATTGAATGGGTTTGTTCACTAGTGAG